ACGTGTTGCATAAAAAATATTAGAGGAACTAGAAACTGTAAGCGATACCTTCGGCCACTGCGTCGTCATCCTTAGCCTTCTCTTCTTCTCCTTCTGGCACATCTGCACTAGCTTCTCCAGCACCTGATGTACGAAAATATGCATTATCAATAAGATAAATAACGCAATGAGATCAAGAACGCAGTTTCTTTTATGAAAGCTAGCATATATATAAATTTTATGGAATTCTTAATTTCATAAAATATGGAAATTCTAATTAGATGTAAGCTTAGAATCAAAGAAAGAGGATACAAAAGCATTTTGGAGACATAAAATATGTATCTTTCTTCCTGCGAGTCACAATGTTTCAATGTACAACTAATTGCTCCATATTCATCACTTTCAACTCACATGTTCAGACTGAAATACAATTCAATAACGATATGTGCGAGAGAATCAATTTTCACACAGCAATTACCAACGTCGTACATAAATACGAAATATTTTCACGTAATATCGCATTCGGAGAAGCGATTCCCGTGAGCCTTGAAACTTGACAAGATTATTGCTCCGTTTTAACGTTAAAAGCAACTCGATGAACCGACGTACTCGCATTATTATGTACGGAAGCGAAATGAGTTTGCGAGCGTTTAAGAAGGTTTAAAATCGTCTCGGTGGACTTCGCGACCGATTATATCGCGACACGAGTAAGTAAATGCGTTTAATTAATGCGAGAAGCGCGAAAAAACCGAGGCGTGACACCCGGGGAGCACGTTCGTCGGTTTATGAGAGGCAAACACTCGAACAGAACGTACCGGCCTTCTTCTTCTTTTTCTTCTTCTTCTTCTTCTTCGAGGCCTCTGCTGCCCCGGTCTTGTCCTCCCCGTCGACAATCTCGTCCTTCTCCTCGTCCACGAGTTTCTCGGCGGACTTGCCGACCTCGTCCAGCACGGCCGCCATTTTCGGGAGTGATGGCCAAACAACGCGGACTCCGCACTCCGCCAGGCCGTCAGCGGCCAGCCGCCGCTCTGTCGCGACCGCGTAAAAAAAAATAAAAAACGTGCGGCGGTCGGATTACCGATCGCCCGGCAGGTAGCGAACGTTTTTACCGACTGTATGACGCACAAGGTAATACAGCACCAGAGAGAAACCTGAGAGAGGTCATATACCCAGGTAGCATTAATGTCTAAAAGACATCATAAAGATGTCTTTAAGATGCCAGAAATCTTAAAGATGTCTTTATGATGTCTTTTAGACATTAATTGCTACCTGGGTATCCACGGTTGCATAATGCATATATACAGGTTGGATGGTCCCATGAAAAAGACCGGGATGACCTCTTTTAGGCTTCCCTCTGGTCACGTACGCAAAAAACCTCCTTCAACTTTTGAAATGCGATGATCTTTTTCAACCACAAAAATTGAAAATCTGATAAAACTTACGATGTACAATTAATTAAATAGTCGTATATTCACAAATGGCGCGTATATTTTTGTAATTTCAATTATTTAACGCGTAAAATTAGTATTATCCGGTTCTACATGCAGACAAATTATTATCCAAGCCAATATTGAATAAAGTCCGAAATGCTTACATATTAAAAACTGCTGTTACGAATTTAAAAAAATAAAAACGTAAACTTTTATAACTCAGTTTTTCATAAACTTTCACGCTATTTCATCGTCGCCAATTTGGGAACAGCTTTTGTTCTACACCTACATAATACCTATATGTACAATATCAAGCGTGCGTGCGCGATGGCATCTTGTGTATGCGCAAATAGAAAGATTTGTTTCATCTCGAGTCGAGAATCGGGGAGTCCTACTATAAATACATGAATGAGTATGTCGGGCTCGACGCGTGCAATGTGTACATCTGCATATTACGTACATGCACGTATACATACATTTTTTATACATATATACATATATACATAGAAATATGTATGCGTGTAATCTTTTTTTAAATATATTATCGATCTCTCTCTCTCTCTCTATTGAATACGATTGGCCTGTCTCAAAAATAACGAGACTAGAACTCTTTGAAGTAAAATAATGGTAACACTGAGCTTCAAATCGGGCTGTAATTTTGATGTCGGAAATCGCCGCGTTACGTTTGAAAACAATAGGTCTCGTTACTGTTGGGACAGAGGCTTCGTAACAGCAGATGTTGATTATGCCTCTATACATATCTACAAAAAAAAGGACAAAAGAAAACTGATGTAGAACTTTATCATTAATTAAACTCTCTATATGACTTAATCCCTTATAGAAATTTAATACTGTAAGTGATTTTTTGGCTAGTAATTAATCACTTAAAAACACTATTAAAAGCACTGTTAATATTAGCCAAATGTATATGCAATGACTTGAAAATAAACTATATATATCTTGCACAGTAATCATATATTTAAAGATATATAAATAATAATTATATGATTGCGTGAATATACGTTAAATACGATGAAACGACAAAATTGCAGAAATTTAAAAGCAACATTAATTTTATTATTTAAAGTATTTTATTTAAAATATAAGGAATATATAATGGGGAATCTCAAATAATATTTTTTTTTTCCATAAAATCATCGTCGTCCAGTTTGTACTCTTACGAATTCTATGTTTTTGGGTACATCTTCAATATAAGTTTACATTACAGTAAGCTAACTCCCTTAGGAAATAGTTCGGCAGATCTAATGTAACATGTCCTGATCGACGTTCTCTATCACGTCTTATCATGTCAATGATTGCTTCTCGACGTTCTTCTCGTCGTTCCGCAGCTTCCTCCAAAGCAAGGAATGCCAAATCCTTGACCTTGTTTTGCGCGGTATCACTTTTGCTCAATACCGTCAGTAGTTTCATAATGCCTTTTCTCACAAGTTTTGCAGCGACGTCTTTCGTGCTTCTAATCATATTTGTCACAATTAAAATACCTTTTTCTTGCACCTCACTGTATGGACTAGTGAGTAAAAAGCGTAGAGATTCCAGACAGAAATTCGAATCGTAAATCTG